TCCAGTTAAAATACTGGATAATACTGTTTTATAAAGTTACCTAGATTAGTTATTTTCTTCCCCTGCTTCTTACAATGTGGTTATGCTGTACTGTTCATTTGTAGTGCAGTTAGTTTGTTCCATATAGTTTGCATTCCATTTGGGTTCCCTCACATACTGTTGTGGGGTTTTTTGTTTTTTAATTTATAAAAATTCATTTTGTTGTAATGCATATTGTTATATGCATTTGACAAATGCATATAATTGTGTATCCATTACACTGTCATGATACAGACCAATTCTATCACTCCAAATATTCTATCACACTTTTTTAAAAATGTTAAAATAATATATTCCATTTACATGTAAAAAAATGTTAAAAAGTATTGGGTTGGCCAAAAAGTTCAGATATGGTGCCCTCATGATGGCTCTGTGGGGAGAGAGCGCCTCAATTTTTTCTGTAAAATAAAAGCCTTTATTGTTTTCTGTAAAATAAAAGATATTTTAAATATTCACCAATAACTGTATTGAATGGATATTTTGAATATGTCGGTTATCTCCCTTTATTGGCTCCTAGTGGGTGGAGGCCAGGGGTACCGCTAAGCCTCTTCCAGCGCATAAGACAGCTCCACAGCAAAGAATTATTTGGCCAATGTGTCAATAGTACCAAGGAAGTTCATAAACCACTTTTAACACATTTGATCAATCACAGCACTTTCTCCATACACTGCACAAATCTTTCTTTGTGTTACCATTGCATTTTTACCTTCCTTGAAATAATAAAACATAATACAGCAAAAATGTTGTGTATTTTCTTCCATCTTCAATATTAAAATGGCTGCACAGAAATTCACCAATTCTGATGTTTTTTTAAATGCACGCTGTCATTTAAATCTAATACAGTCTAACAAAGTTGTTTCCAATGAAGTTAAAGACAACTACTAGAGCACTACTAAGCACTGCTAGAGCCATCGTACAGAAAAAAAGCTAAACAATCCTTTTGGCTAATCCAATAACACAACTCTAAGAAGTTTAGGAAATTAGGGACTTTTGTGTTTTTTCTTGTCTTTTTCATGAGCATGTTTTACTTAGTTTGATGTTAATATAAATGTATTTTTTATTTTTGTTTTAATTATATCAGAAATAATGTTCTATTTTTCTAACTGAAAAATCAAGAAATGCTGAAAGAAACTCTCATTTATTCGATCATACTTTTAAGCCACATTTTGTATATCGAATCAAGATCTTCCCTTAACAGCTTACAAATATTTCAGCTATTTTATGATTAGAGCCATTGCTGGACAACTTTGTGTTTCAATAACAACATGTTTATGAAATTTTTTAAATGTTAAGTTCTTAGTTTTATGTAAGCATTTTACTGTAATTTTATAAAAATGGAAATGGTGGAGAGTAGAAAAAGTGCGGGCCAGAGGAGACCAAAAGCTGGAAAAAAGTGGGGAGGTTCTTGGGGCAGGTCGTCTTCCCGGAGAGCGGCTCCTGTGGGGCAGCGGCAGTCCCCTGGGCCTGGAAACTGGGGCAGAGCCATGCGGAGCGCTGACCTGGGAACGCCACCTTCGGACTCAAAAAGTAAAACCATCATCGCAGCATAAGGCCAACAGCGAAAACAAGCCAAATATTCAGTCACATCTTGAATTACATCTCAAATGATTTCCCAACTTCAGAGGCAGATGGGATGTAAAGGAGCTTCTAGACATAGGGAACATCATTGCAAAGCCCAAAATAGAGATTGGGTGATAAAAGATAAAATGATAGATCTACTTATTAACGTATTTTCTTGTTAAAATGATAGGGGACTCTTGGAAATTTTTGTTCAGAGGAGAAGCACATTGCTGTTTGAAATGTATAGTAATTGTAATCTGCAAGGGAAAATTGAAGAGGGGAAAGAGCCTAAAGGCAGGCCATTTAAGACACTGTTGTAATGTGCTATGCATATTGTGCTGTTTGAGTAGAGTGGTAGGATTAGAAACAGTGAAGAGGCCTGAAAAGAAATACTTTAGTTTCATCAGCATCTGTTGAGCACCAGGTATGTTTAAAAATATTTTGATAGAAGCAGTAGACAAGTATAACGATATATTCCTATAATATATACTCTGCATAGTAGAAGAAAACACAAGAGGCAACGTGATAAACTGGGAAACATTTATGTTGGGTAAATAGTTGATACTTTATTATAATCTATTACATGTTAAATATAATAAGAAAAAGATATACCTTGTAGTTAAATAGACATTTTGCATGAGTTGGCAATTCATGAAAGAAGAAATGCAAATAGCTAATAAATCAATTTTATTAGTAATTCAAGAATTGAATAAAACAATAATGAGGTCCTATTTGATCACCAAATGTCCAAGAGGAGTGATAATACTAAATATTGATTGAAGTATGGACAAATGGACATTTTGGTGCATTGCAAGTGGAAATGTAAATAGGCATAACCATTTTTGGGACATTTGATATCAATAGTCCTAAAAATTGTGTGAACCTAGTTCTATTTCCAGGTATTTAATGTAAGGCAATAATTACAGATGGCAGTTTGGTTTATGTGCATGGAGGATAATTACACTGTGGCATAGTACATAATGGTGGAAAACTAGAAACAACCGAAATAGCCACCAGTAGATGATTAATTATATTATGAAACATCTATGCCTAGTACTACCATGAGTTAGTAAAAGATACATTGTAGAAAAGTAATTTAAATGTAAATATTTTTGTTATACTTAAGTTATTCAAAATACATCCCTTCTTTTATTGGTTCGTTTATTCACCAGTAACAGAATACTCTATTATATTGATTGCTTCTTGCCATTCCACTCCTTTGGGTTTATTGTCTTTATTGTTAAAGTATGCATTTTAGTACTTTTAATAATGGGCTTGGTAATAAACTCAGTCTTTGTATGTCTGAAAATTATTATTTTGCCTTCACTTCAAAATAATAATTTCCCTGGGTATACACCAACTCCCTCAGCACTTTGAAGATATTCCCATCTTGATATCTTGCTTTGATGAAAAATTTGCTGCTTTTACTGGTTTCATTTATCTGTCTTTTATCTTTGGTTTGCTTTTTATGATTTTCTCTTTGTCTAAGATGTTCTACAATTTCCCTTCCATATGTTCCGGTAAATTTTTTTTAATGCTACTTGGAGCTTATGTGCATTTTCAATCTGAGGTCCAACATCTTAATTCTGAGCGCATTCTCTTTGAGTGATACCTTTTTGCCACTTTATTCTTTCCGTATGGGACTTCTCTTTGTTTTTGAGCTTCTCATTTTATCCTTTATGTACCTTATTTTCTTTTATATTTTGTACCTCTTTATTCTTCTGTGTTCTGACTGATATCTTCCAAACAATAACTCTCTTTTCAGCTATGGAGTTTACTACTTAACCCATCTTGAGGTTTTTGAGTAGATTTTTTTAAGTAGACTTTGTACTTGGTTTACTTTAGATTGGCCTGTTACTGTTTTATAAGGTTATTTTTAAAAAGATTCTATTTCTTCCTTTATATCTTAGAATATTTAAAAATGCACTTATTTTAACTTTGTTTTTAGATTACTTTATTATCTCTAGTCCCTTAGTTATGTGTTTTTCTGTTTTGCTGGATCTGAGGACTAACTCTTGGTCGTTAACTTCTCCATGTGTCTCCAGTTCCTACTAAGTACTGGAGAACTCATGTCTGGTGTCTGGAGATTTTCCCATTTTTGCTCTTGAGCTTAGATCAAACATAAAACTCAAGCTGCAAGTAAATAAGATAGTGTGTATAACCAACATTTCAAAACTTTCAACTGTGAAAAGAGAAACAGCATTATTAGAGTAATAGTTCTTAATGTTTCTAGAGTGATAGATCTTTTTGATAATTTCAGGAAAGCAATGGACTTTGTCCCCCAAAATAAATCAAAACACATCCACAGTTTTTTGTAAAGATTCAGTGACTCCACAGAGTCTTTTTGTGAACTCCTATCTCTGTGGACCCTGGGCTAAGACATCATAACCCAATGGGATTAACATGCCCAATTAATTTTTTTTTAAATATGGAAGTTGTTGTGGCTAATGAAATGGCATGTAACCATGGTGCACAACAGGGTTTTCAAGCTTGGTTAAGCAGTGGAGCCCTTTATTTATATAAAATTTAATAAACTCAAAGTTGTGAAATAGACATAAGTAAATTTTTTCCAGTTGGAGTAGGTGTGGAGTCCTGGAGCTTGCTCACTTGCCAATCCCTATTTTCACCTACCCTGACCTAAAAGGCATACGCTTGGACTTTCTGGAACACTGGTAGAAAACTACTGGTGAATTAGAGAGACCATTCGATTGGGCTTAAAGGAATCCTGGGTTCTTATTTCAGGTGTGTCACTTATTATTTGCATTGGTTGTAGACAATGCTGATTAGTTTGTAAGAAAGGGAAGAGGCAATCTGAAGGACATCAGTGAGAAGAGTTGCATCCTGTGTTATGAGTAAAGTATTATAATTGCATAGATACATTATGATCACATTAGAAATGAAGTTTGATACATGCAGAAGTGTTAAGAATTAAATTTTTTCATCCAATTTTACCATTTGAAACCTTTTTCAAAAAGGTTATTTAATATCCAAGATACATTGGGAAATGAAAACTTGGACAGTATGCTCCTAGTTTTTTATAAAAAGGTATTACGTGTACGTATCCATATCCATATCATTATCCATACGTGTGTGTATTTCAAAGGCCTGGAAAGACACATCAAAATGGAAAGAGTAGGGGATGGGTAGTTAACTAGGGGTGAGCAGATGACTGTTGATTTTATTTTATTTTTTATATTTTCTAAACATTCTAAAGGAAATATACATTACTTTTGAACAGAGAAAAAGGTTTTAAAATAAAAGGTTTCTTAAAAAATCTGTCACTGAATTTCAGCATTAAGTTGAGTATGTATTTAGAATTATAAAATTATACCTAATAGTTGGCTTGTAAAAATAATAGGAACTTATTTAAAAGCTTTCTTTAATAAATATTTCTCTTTTAGGCTTTTCTGTATGAGTAGAGAAGACAGTTGTCGTAAGTAGAAGTGACACAGCATTTATTAGGATGTCTGAAGATGAAGAAAAAGTGAAATTACGCCGTCTTGAACCAGCTATCCAGAAATTTATTAAAATAGTAATCCCAACAGATCTGGAGAGGTTAAGAAAGCACCAGCTAAATATTGAAAAGGTAAGTTTTTCCATCTTCTACCACAAAAAAAACAGTTACATATTCTGATTTATATTTGTTTTATACTTTAGCTAAATTCAGAATATTAAATATTTAGATATTTGCTAAAATATCTAACTTCTGTTGATTTAGCAACATGATTTATTCTTTCATCTGGTTTTATTTGTGTTCTGCAAATATACCTCTCATATTCTTTTTTAGGACGGGATAGAATAGAATCTATATCTTTTCGGTTGTACATACTGACATATTAAGCAGTTAATTAAAATACAAACAGTTCGGTAGTGCACTAAAACGTGAAGGCAGCAAACCTGGGCAAAGGGGCCTACCTTAATTTCATTTACCCTATGGCAAGTATTTTGGATCTTCAGTGTGTGTCTGTCAGTAACGCCTAACCTCTTCAGGTGCATGTAGGTTAAAGAGGGAAATCATTATGTGATATGAAGGAATTTCCCAACGTCACTGCTGCCCTTTGAGGAAAGCCTATCTCCTCAACTCAGAGGTCAGTTTAGGAGATAGGTAGAGGGAAGAACTAGTCTGAAGGACTATGGTAGAAGATGCATAGCACTTGGACTGGTGGAATGATTGTGACATTTATGGGAACATCAGATTTACTGAGTACCAAGCATTGATTTGATAGGCTGTGTTGTCTTAGTTGCTGTGGGGCAGGTCAGTGGCATTTGCTCCTTCAGAAGAACCTCCCTCAGTATAGACTTGAAGCTCTGTGGCCCTCCATTGATGGGGGGGGGGGGGGGGGTGGTCATTATGCCTTTCTGTTTAAACAATATTTACCACCTCGACTGCCGACCTTATACAAGTAAGAAAAACGTCACCTTTTTCTCCCATAGATACCATCTGCCTTTCTAGTATTTAACTATTTTTAAAAAGTATAGAAATAAGTGCCAAGAATATTGTGATGAAAATTTCTGTACAAATGTGAAGGTGTCTAAAATTCAAGATTAATACTTTGTCATCCCTTGAGTTCTTTCTTCTTTACCCATAAGCAATAAGTACTATAACTTTTAAGGATAGGGAAGTTGTTTGGTAAACTGGTTATTCTAGTCATGAGCAGAAACAGATTAAAGGGTTCTATGCTTTAATTAATGAGGAACGCTCATTCTTTTAGTACTATAACAATAGAGAAATAGTTGTGTACTTTTGACTGATCATATTGGGTGGGAGGTCTAATAAGGTGCATTTCAAAGTCCTGAGCTCATTTTGAATGCTTGGTTACAAAGATGACAAGAATTTGGCAGAACTGATTCTGAAAGGCAGAAATAAGTAGTCTGTGGTCTACTGAGGCCATTTTTTCCCTTTATTGTCCTTTCTCACATTTGAGGTTTGGCATGTAATAGATTTCCTTTTTCTTATATTCTATATGAAAGTGCCTACTTCAGAGCTTAACCACATGTACCGTTCGGTTATCAGTGGAAGTCAGAACCCTGAGAGAAAGGTAGGTGAGGATAGGAATGGTTTATAACTGAGTTGATTAATTAGTAACAGACTTCATAAGAAAATTATTTTAGGGTTATATTGATCTTTCTTTTTGCCAGAACAGTTTTTTGTTAGCTTTTTGTGAAATTTTTACTTACTGTGGAAATGTTAAACATTTAATTATAAATTACAATATCGGTGATGTGCGGAGCTAAGCAGTTAAACTCATACTGATATGTGTTTTATTCCATGTGCTTGATCATTCTGTCCCTAGGACTTCTAGTTTAGCTATGAAAGTGATTTTGTATCCATATAAGATTGAATGGCATATTTTAATAGACAGTTTATGATGATGTAAAAATATTTAAAAGCAGCAGCGTTCACTGTAGACCAAAGAGTTAAGAACTAATTTTGGATTTCAGATGTCTAATGGTGCCTCACTTTCAAAAAGGCATATTCCTCCTGGGGGAAGAGTGTAGAAAGATAAAATATTTATTATGTTAGCCATCAGTCATCCAATATGAATTTAAAAGAAGAAAGTCAGACTGAAGGGAAATTGAAGGTAAGCCTTAGTGGAGTGATTCTGCAACATCTGAAAACAATGGAAGTAGTGTGCTGTGGACACCTGGGACTATATTCCATAGGTCCTTCAGCATTGCATTTTATTAACATGATAGACTCGATTAGAATGTAATCCTGAAATTTGTTTTAGCATTCAGCTTTCTTGGCTAATGTAAGATAGACTTAAGCATAGTTAAGAGGAACAACAAGATAGTAAGCTTGTAACATAATTCTCTTTGTTTCATATTGTAGGGATTTGAGGAAAAACTTACTGTGTACCATGTACTGTATTAGGATATGGTTAGCGTGCAAGTGGCAGGAAACCCCAAAATTGTGTATGAAGTAAGACATACTTTGTTTGTTTTTTTAAATCCTCACCTGAGGACATTTTTTCATTGCTTTCAAAGAGAGAAGAAGGGAGAGGGAGAAACATCAATGCATGAGAGGAGCATGGATTGGTTGCCTCCCCTATGCACCCAGACAGGGGATCAAACTCACAACCTTGGTATATGTCCTGACCCAGGAACCAAACCCACAACCTTTTGGTTACGGGATGAAGCTCCAACCAACCGAGCCACACCGGCCACTGTGTTTTATTTTTGTTTTGTTTTTGCTTCTGCTTTTTTTAAAAAAAATCTCATAGTTATGGAGACAGTCTAGGGCTATAGTAGCAACTCAAAAGACATTAAAGACCCAGATTTTCTAACTTGCTGTTCGATCCTCGACTTGTTTCTGTTTTGTAAGTAAAATGGTAGCTCCAGCTCCATCTCTCACATCCACGTTCCAGCTAAAATGAAATAATCAGAGTCATATTTTTCCTATGTCCTTTTTTTCTCTCAATGTTCTGTCTGTCTGTCTCTCTTCCTCAAAGAGACTCCTGTTCTTATTTCATGGATGCAGTATCATCTCTCTCTATGGTGATAATATTTTATTTTCATTTTCTTCTGCTTCCTTGTCCGTTTTCCCTGTTTTCCTTTTTATTTTCTTTGTTCCTTTTCTTTCCATTTATTTTACTCCTTTTCCCTCCCTCCCTGTTCTCTCCCTTTCTTTCTCCCTTTCTTCTTCTTCTTTTTTTTTTTCCTGGTACCCTACAGAAGTCTACACTTTCTTGGCCAGCTGTTGATATTTAAGAGTGCTAATCGAAGAGTGTGTGTAGCAAGGTGTTGATAAGAGCCTTGTTGCCTGAAAGGGTGTAGAGATGAGGATCTATTTGCATGGGGAACCACTAGATCCTGTTCTGGTGTGTGGTCTCCTGTGGTGATAGGGGCAGTGCAGTTGCTTGAGCCTGTGGAGAGGGCTTCCCGTAGACTACCTGTTCCTCACAGAAGCTGTCAACGAATCCTTCAGCTTTTAGCTCCTTTGTGGACAGCCGACTGGTTACCTGGAAGGTGTTACTCCTGGTTACTCCGTCTTTCTGGAGTAGCGCTGTACTTGTTGGCTTGTTTCTTATTGCCTCTCTTGGCCACATCCACCCCCTCTGCAGCCTTAGGTTTCAACTTTCTCTAGTCAGGTAAGTTAGTTGCAACACATTCACACTCTTTTCAGCTTCCAAAATTTTGTTAGAACTTCTTGGTAACTGGTATGTTCCATTGTATTTTCATTTTTCTTATGAATGTATATCTTTGAAAGTTCTTTACTGTCATTTTAGTTGGGTTTTGGGAGAAAGCAGAGATAAATGTGTTCAGTCTGCCAGGTTTAATGATGAGGGAAATTATTACAGGAAATAAATATATGTTAGCTTTTTACACGTTTTGGCGTTTGTTGTTTTCTTGTATTGTTAGCAGTGAAAATGACATAAAAATTAGGTTTCTAATCCTCAATAACCCAATCAAGGAAATAAGATAGGAAATATTTAGAGAATTATTAGAGGCAACATATTATTAGATGTGAAAATGAGTGGCATGTATGAAGCCTGAACGAGATGGTACAAAATCAGATGTAATTAGCCTTAGGGATTGATTTGTTTTTGAAGTTGTGATTACAACAAAAACTTTTTCCATTTCTCTTTTTTGTCCGAGAACGTTTATTTCAGTATTTTAACCCCGCTTTCCCGCCGCCCCCTTTTCTTCCGGCACAACCCTGATCCAGTGTGTGCCTTCCCCGCCGTTTCAGGGTAGGGAAGCCTGCGCACCCGCGGTGAGTGGTGACGGGTCTGAGGGCGTCCTCATTCTTGCCAGTGTTTGGTGAGCAGTGAACAATAGATGTATCCTATCGTTCTGCTAATGAGGGGAAAAGCCTGTTTTTGAAAAAGATTTTTCTACTGTTAAAAGAGATACATGGGAGGAAACAGCTCCTGCTTTTACTAGGCTTTTATCTCCGTATTGTATGTGGATCTATAGCCAGTAGAGGACAAGTCTGAGGACCAAACCCTCTGTTGAAGATAGTAAATCTTCTGAACTAAACTACCGTGGAATTATTATCCTACTTTTAGGCTCCTTCTTATGTGAGATAATGAATGTCCTCATTATTAAAGCCATTTTAAAATTTTGAATTCTCTGTTATTTGCAATCAAAAGCATCCTAATGGCTTCAAGTTACAGCACTGTTTTAAACTATCTCTGTAGTGCCACTGTGCAAATAGACAATACAAAATGACATTTTGTAAAAACAGTGCAGTTGAGAAATGCTTGTCAATAGTTCTCACTTAACGAACTATTTTTTTTTCTTTAGAGAGGGGGAGGGAGGAGACAGGGAGAGAAACATTGATTAATTGCTTCTCATATGTGCCCTGACTGGGGACTGAAACTGCAGTCTAGGCACATACCCTGACCAGGAATCGAACCTATGACTTTTCAGTTTATAGCATGGTGCTCCACACTGGCCAGGGTGTGACTTTCTTTGATTGTGTCTTTTTGGGAATTCAAAAATTGCTAATTAATCAAGGTGCAGAGATCATGATAGACATGACTTCACAATGTAAATTAAAAAACCCAAATCATTTACTTTCGGAATGCAGATTATAAATTCCCTGGGGCCAGAGATGGATGGGTTAATAAGAGTCAGTAA